AAAGGAACGAAAGTTTTACATGGTTGTACGATACGTTATTATTAACCGCCGAATTTTGGACGATCGTATTGTGCATGTGAACTATTGGGATACTTTACTATATTTTTTCATATCAGGCCGTAACACAATTCTTCCGTATTTCTCAAGTCGTTAAACTGTCATGAATTTATATAAATTTTTATGAATCATTCTGTGATAATCCAGCAATGCGAAAGAACACACATCGTGATCTGTATTTTTCTTTTTTTTTCTTTTTTTTTTTCTCTCTCTTTGTGAATGAAGAAAAGACGCAATGATTTGGTGCAAAGTGTTCATGAAGTATGGCAACATTTGGTTAATCTACTTTGGAATAAATATACGAATTACAATGCACGCAGCATCGATCAAACGAGTGAAGTGTCGTGTGTGCTGTGGAAACAACATGTCGCGCGTAATCGTCACCCTTGATGATTTAATCAAAAGGCATCGCTTGCTCTGATAATTCTGCTCTGCTGAATTGAACTACATGCGTAGAAAGTCTACGAGTTTCGAATAGTGATACGTTAAATTTGTGGTGCGAATCAATGAATTTCATAGTCGTCGAGCATATCGAATTCTTGTTCGATACATCGTCGAAAGATAATGAAACCGTGTTGACTTGTACGTTGACAAAATTGATAACCCGTTCTTTCGGTCTTATGCACGAATCGATTGACTTCCTGTGAATGAAAAATAATTGAAAATTATATACGTATATAACGTGCGTGTAATGTGTATGTAACGTGCATATAACATGAGGATCCTGTGAAATATCTATGAAATACGCCGTCCACATTATCCGGCTTCTCCATTTCACATTCGTAAACATTCTGCAAGGGTCTTAGTCTCTCTTAGTATCTTGCCATATATAAATAATCGTAAATTAACTTGCGTGCTTCTGTTAACTGCCGATTGAATTTTATAAAACGCAAATCGATGCGAGAATGTTGATTCATCGAGTCAATAATGTTCGTGATATAACGTGAGAAGTACAGTGTCACGGAAACAAAGAGTTCGTGAGAAAGAGGGACGAAATTTTTGGAAAAAGAGAGAGAGAAAACAGAGTTTGTGGAGCTATACGTTAAGATATAAAAGAAACAAAAGATTTGTATGGTTGCATTAATGATAAGATTCGCTCCTCGATTCGATGTCTATTTATTATTGTGCTACTTGTTCGAAAAGCACGTGGTGGCGAGAGTCATACTCCCATTCAGAAAGGTTATGTAGCGTGGAGAAGAAGAGAGAAAGGTTATGCTCGAGACGCCCGTTACATTATCAATTCCGTTATGACGTCGTATTCGTAATAGCAGAGACGACCCTACGACTATCTTCGGGGATTCCCCCGTACATTCTCCTCTCTGCTTTTCTTCTCTCTCGTTTCTCTCTTTCACATCATTTCCCCTCTCCCTTGGTTTTTCTGCTCTTCTCCAACAAGCAGTCTCTTCGTACCGGCATAGTTGTGTAACGCGTACCTTCTACCACCGTCTCTTACGGACCAAGCCCTCAGCCGTCTCTTCGCGTTCTTCCTGTTCTCGTGAAACGTTTCCACGGTCGATCTTTTTGCGGATTTACACCTGTTGAATTTCTCTTGTCGTCCCCTTACTTCTTCCCACGAAAGAACTGCAATTCACATTTTTCTACATGCAATATAAAAAATATTTTTTGCTCGACGTTTTCCTATCTTTCCCACTTTTTTCTCAGTTTACTGCATTTCACTTCACTCCGTTCGAAATTTGAAAGATGGACACGTCCGCGTCGAATTTCGACTTTAAATATATCTATCTTTTCTTTTCTTTTTTTTTTTTTTCTTTTTCTTTTTCTTTTTTCTAAATACTTTTCTCCAAAGTTTGAATGAATAACACGTTTCTTCCGGCTTGATTTCAGCTTGGACGCGATTTTATTGAAAAACGAATGTAGTTCTCGTTGAGTCTTTCTTGCCGATTATCCAACTTCTGTGACGTACCATTCTTAGAACGTTCCTGGAAAATCATCATCTGTCGTGAAAAAAGCACAAAGCGAAGATAGTAAGGTAGAATTTTTTTTCTTTTTCTTCGCGTCAATTAGTCTGGGATAATTGGTCGGGCGATGCCCTTGAACCCTAAGTATTGATTGGTGAGGTTGGATTCTGCCTTTCCCTCTTGCCTCCGAACCGATGGCACCACCCCTATGCATCCACCGCCGAACCAACCAACTACCCACCCACTCCCTAACTCCTGCACTAGTACACGTACAACTCTACCCATCGCCCAGCGTCCGTGGTTCTCCAAATTGCCGTCGCCGTCGCCGTCGCCGTCACCCTCACCCTCACCCTCACCCTCGCCATCACCCCCGCCCTCACTCTCGCCTCCGCCTTCAGCCTCGCTCGCCCTCGCGCTCATCGTCGTCGTCGTCGTCGTCGTCGTCGTCGTCGTCGTCGTCGTCACTGCTTTTATCATTTGTTAAAGCGTCGCACCTTTCCCAATCACTTCTTTCTTTAGTTGTTTAATTAAACGGCAGATAAAATCAGTATCTTTTGCATTTGCCTAGACTTGCTACAACCAAATCTTGGTATTTACGTAGGCTTATTCATCTGCAATTTTCCGTCGCGGTAACAACCAGTATTCACGCGGAAATCGCCCCTAAAATTTCCGCGTGAAAATTATATATACTGCAAAATGTATATAGATAACTGCTGTATATGTATGTGTCCAGTATAAAAGGTTCGATTACCTTACCAATATATATGTATATATGGCAGGAATTCTCTTGTTTCGTTAAACTTGAAGATTTTATAACGTGAATGTTCTAACCAGATTCTGTGTACGTAGTCTTGCTTTTCGAATTGGCTAACGAAGTAAAGTGTGAAAAGATGGAGGAGGGAAGGAGAGCGAAATCTACAAAACGGAACTGAAAATGTATACATGAAAACGGCTGGAAGTCATATCGGTGCCCGTGCCATCACGAATGCTGAGAAGAGGATCGGAGTTTGGGGTGGTCGATACGGCCCTGGGGCCGCGACAGCCGTGTCGGAGGCCTCCCCATTCTTCCTGCGGGCGTTTTTGCCTCTGCCCCTCTCTTTCTTCCCGTCGTTTATTCAATCGCTGGTTCACTCGTACTCGCTCTCTCTCTCTCTCTCTC